GAATCACTATAAAATATTTCATAGATGGTATCTAGCCCCAGCTAGACTAGCAAAAATATTTCCCAGTGCCTCAGCAATATGTTGGAAGTGTGGAAAGGAGGTTGGCACCTTCTTTCATATGTGGTGGTCCTGCCCAGAGACAAAAAAGTTTTGGACAAAAATATGAATCTGGCTACGAGAAATAGTGGAAGAAGATATAAAACTTTCCCCCGAAATCTTCTTATTAGGAATGATGGGAGATGGACTCTCTAAGGACAAGATACAATTAATTATACATGTTATAACAGCGGCCAGATTAACCTTTGCAAAATACTGGAAGGACAAACAAACCCCTCCAGAGATGACAATAATAAATAAAATCCTAGAATGCGCAGAAATGGCAAAATTAATGATGAGAATTCAAAATTTAAGGCAGTATGGGAAAGGTGGTACAAATGGTGGAATAATAGAACGAGACTATATGGATATGTCTATTTCTAATAATGGTAGAATTGAAGATACTTGATATGTACATAATGTAAATATGTAACCGCACGACACCTCAGATGTTAATGGAGATTTGAAGTTTCCTTTTTAAAAATTTTTTTAAAATCAATAAAGTATTATAAAAAAAAAAAAAAGAGGTTGCAGAAAAAAAATGCTTTTAAAAGCCTTCGACGATCAGGCAATTCAGCTGGGATTGCCAGAGGCTTTTAAAGGCATTTTTTTCTCTACAACCTCTTCGGCTGAAAAGCCAGCCATGCGAGGAGTGGATGGAAGTGGTGAGGCAGGGGGCAGGGCAGGGGGTGGGGCTGAATCCCACCACTGCGCGGGCTGGATACATTGTGTCAGCAGGCCGTAGTTTGAGGACCCCTGTCCATTTTAGCGAGCTAAAATGCCAATTTCATGAATGGAGGCATACATAACATTAATCTCGAAAGAAAATACAAACAATCAAATGATCCATAATTACAGGCCAATCTCGCTTCTAGATTCTGACTATAAAATCCTGGCAACAATTATAGCAGAAAGACTTTAAAAAATATTAAATAATATTATACATTCGGTCCAAAATGGGTTTTTACCCAAACGACAAATAAGAAACAATACAAGAATTATAATGAGCATATTAGAGTATTATGAGGCTCACCCTGAAAAATAATTAGCATTAGTACTAATTTTGTGCATCCACTAATTTTGTGGATGTACAAAAGGCTTTTGATAACCTAAATTGGCAGTTCTTAATCACACAACTAATCACTATGAAATTTGGAGAAAAATTTATCAGCATGATCAAGGCAATATATTCAAATCAAACAGCGAAAATAATGGTAAATGGAGATCTAACAGATAAAGTCACCATAAATAACGCAATGCTTAATGCATTGTAAGCCGCCCTGAGTCTCCGGAGAAGGGTGGCATATAAATCAAATTTAAAAGGGGGGGGGCTTAGACAAGGATGCCCACTATCCTCTCTCCTATTTATTCTTTTGCTAGAAGATTTATTAATTCAGACCAGAGATAATCAGGAAATAAAAGGGTTAAAAATTAAAAAAGAGTATAAAACACAGGCATTTGCAGACGATATGGCTTTTATAATAGAGGATCCTCTCGAAATGGGAGAATTATTGATACAGGAAATAGAGAAATTTGGTATGGTCGTAGGTTTAAAAATAAATAAAAATAAAATGAAGATAATCAAAAATCTCACACAACGCCAAAATAAGAAATTAGAGAAGATATTGGAAATCCAAGTAGTGAAAAAAGTAAAGTATCTTGGCTTTTGGTTAACAGCAAAAATTTCCTCTATAAAAAAAGATAACTATTTAAACTTACTACAACAAATTCGAAAAAATTTAGAAAATTGGGCGAAGTTACAATTATCTTTGATTGGAAGAATGGAGACCATAAAAATGAACATCCTACCAAAAATTTTATACTTATTTCAAACGGTGCCCATAAAACTAGGGAAAATTTTTTTGAAGAATTGAACAAAATAACTCTAAAATTTATCTGGCTGGGGAAAAAACCTAGAATTAAATATAAACTCCTACAAGATTCTATAATTAAAGGAGGCTTCGGCCTTAGATTGGGAACTCTACTACTAGGCGGCAGGAGTGGATAAATTTAAAAAACAGAAGAGTACTAACAATAGAGGGACACAACCTTCAGTGGGGCTGGCATGCCTTCATTTGGGAGGGAAAGAACAGAGCTCACAAATATTTTCAGAGACATCAGGTAAGAGATGCCCTACTAGGGATTTGGATGAAAATTAAAAGAAATTTCTACACAAAAATCCCCAGACGGATATCAACAATGGAAGCAATGATCTACCCCAATTTAATTGATTTTTTAAAAATAGTAATTTATAAAGAACTTCTAGATGGACAAGGGAAACTTAAATCCAATCAGGAACAAATATCATAGGGAATTAAAATAGATTGGTGGCCTTATCTACAGATTCAAACAAAATATAAAAAAGATTCAGAACAATTTGGGTTTCAAACCAAGCAACAAGAAATGTACAAAATTCTAACAGGGACTGATGAAAAAATGATTACCAAAACGTATAACTGCCTCCTCAAATTCAAAATGGAGGAGGAAACTGTGAAAGAAACAATGATAATTTGAGTGAAAAATTTTGGATATAACAGAATTGGAACATTGGGAAAAACTATGGGGGGGGGGGATTATAAAATGATGATGTCAGCCGCATACAAAGAAAATATTTACAAAATGTTCTATAGATGGCATTTATCCCAGCGAGATTGGCCAAGATGTCTCCAAAAAACCCACCCAATTGTTGGAAAAGTAATTAACAAGGGACATACTACCACATGCCAGAGATTATTGGTTAAAAATTAAAAAGTGGTTGGAGGAAATTATTGAACTAAAAATTGACATGAAACCAAAGTTATTTCTTCTGGGTATTACAAAAGGAAAGATGAGTAAAGAAATTCAATACCTTATGCTACATATAATTACGGTAGCCAGAGTATCATTTGGCCAAAATTGGAAACAACAACACGCTCCATCGAACACAATGATTATAAAAAAGGTGCTAGAATGTGCAGAAATGAACAAATTAACGATGGAATTAAGAGACAGAGGAAACAGTATACTATGAGACATGGAATACGTGGTATAACTGGCTGGAAAAGGAGTCTAAAATCAATGTATAGTGATTGTTAAGAGAAGATAATAGAAGGAAAAAATATATATTTAAGAGCGTAGTAGTTATGTATATATTGTATATATTAGATAAATAAATACTTAAGAAATAAGAATGTGCAGCTGGGTCTTTCTGGCCTTTGCTGGGTGCACTCCCACCAATCACTTCCGAAAGACGCGAGAGGTGTTTCGGGCAAAGGTATTGCAGGGACTTTTTGCAGCAAGACAATAAAAAGGCTCTAACAGACCCCTTGTCAGTTTTGGAAGACAATTTTCTTTTTTGCTTCTTAACTGCCACATATTTTAGCTGGGGAAGTTGGGAGGGGGTTGTTGTTGGAATGGTAGAAAGTTAGTCATAACAACATTCCGTATTCAAGGACTTGTGCCTGCATCTGATGGAGACTGCCTGAAGATTGTATCCAGCTGAGTGTGAAGAGTTGATTGGACAATGTGATGAACTTGTGGGTGTGGGGCAGGGCTGTGAACTGTCAGCTGGGTGTGGAAAACTTGGAAGCTTTCAGATTCGAGTTTTCCCAGTTGTGTCACATGACATCTCTAATAAATTGGAACTTTGAGGAACCTCAGGTCTCAGAGCTTTATTTCGATGGGGTTGTTCCTTGGAACCCTGACACCTGCATTGTCACGGGGGCCCCCTCCCCTTCTTTGTCTGCCCCTGCATGTCTGGTCCCTTTTTGTTAAGTCCATTCCTCTCCAGTGCCGCTGCCCCTCTCAACCCCAGCGCAGCGGCTGCGTCTCCCTCAAGGGCTGCCCGTCCATCCGCTGGCCGGACCGGAAATGGTGAGTCTCCCATCATGGGCTGGATGCCGACCTCAGAAGGCAAGCAGCCATGGGGGACCGCTGGAAGGTCACATGGAAGGCAGGCAAGCATGGCAGGGCTGAGGGGAAGGGAGTAGGCTGCTAGCTCCCTTCCATGTGGTCGAGCAGCCCCAACATGTTTGCCTGCCTTCCATGCAGCCTTCCCGGTGGTCCCTGTGGCCAGGCCTGCTTGCCTGCCTTCGCAAACTGGCCACAGGGACACTGGGAAGGCCATGTGGAAGGCAGACAAGCATGTTGGGGCCGCGGGGAATAGAGTAGGGGAGGCCTTCGCAAGCGGGCCTGGCCATGGGGACTGTGTGGAAGGCAGGGAAGCATGGCAGGGGTGTGGGCCGCATGGAAGGGAGCAGGGGAAGCAGGCTGGAATGGTGGGGTGGGGGCGGTGGCAGCTAGCTAGGCCGTGACTTGCAGGCTTATCTGGCAGGCAGATCAGGGCTGCTCAGTTGGGGCGCAGTGCTTCAAGAAGGGAAGCTGCAGAACAGAGACTAGGTGGGGTGGGTGAGCGGTGACCGATTCGGGGGAGAGGCCAGCTAGCAGTCGCTACCAGTTCAGCGACCCAGGCCAAATGTCCACTACCGGTTCGCGTGAACAGGTCCGAACTGGTCAGATTTCACCTCTGGTTTAAACATAGCTTTGTGTGGTTCTTTTCAATAGAATCACATGGTTAGAATTACTTAAATATAAGCCTTTAGTGTAACTCTACAACCAAGGACTGAACCCAGGTAAATTGCTTCCAGAACCTTGAAATATTAAGAATGCTATAGAGAACATGAGATAGAATGTTAGTGAATATAGCAGATTACAACAGTCTGTTCCAAGACTTTTCATGCTGTTTTTGTACACAGAGCAAATGTAGCAAATGTTCTATGCAATTGTAATATTTATATAAAAGAAATAAGGTGCAATGTGCCAAAAAACCATGAATAGAGTCTAGAACTGTGATTTTCATTCAGATTCTCATACTTGGCTATAGAACAGTATTCATATTAAACTTTATTTTAACTCTGACACAGAAAAGTGATCCAAACTCTTTATTTTCAAAATTACGCATACAGAGTTTGAATATACAGAAACAAAAGTGCAATAATATGTTATCACTCTCTCACCTGCCTGTAAAAAAAGTCAGCTTACATAAATATTGTTGATGCAGCTTAATGCAATTTTTTCCATGTTTATAAACAATTTTTAAAGTCTTTCAAAGAATAGCATGGTTAGAAGTTAAATACAATTTCTTCACTTCAATTTCTTTTCCTTGGCAGTTTGAGAAAATGCTACATAAATCATTTTAATGAAATATAATGGCAGGTTCCAAGAGGGCCACTAGTATTAGTGATCACTGTTGACAAGAGAGCCATTAGTTACTTTCATGACCAGGGGTCATCATTGTCCACTATGCTATAGAAACAATTATTCGAATACTATGCTAATTCTTTATTACAATTATTTACATACATAAATCAGCGTAAACTTTACTTCCACACTTTGACAATACCATCTCGCGATGCAGTAACTATAAATCCTTGAGTTGTCTGGAAAGTGGCAATGTCTGTGATGATGTCATGGTGCCCAACTGGTAAAGATTCAGGACCCCTTCGAGGGGTTTCGTCTGTAGGTCCCATCTTGTGCTTGTTTTGAATTTCCTGATGAAGAGAAAACCATGAAATAGACTGTGCCAAACTATAAAAACTGTTGTTTTATCATAAGATTTCCCATATTAAATCAGTTTGTTAATTCTCTATTTTAAAACTAGGAAATTTGTTTCATATCCAGTACCACTAAATGTATTTATTTGTTATAGATTTGGTGAAGTCCTTGGTGCTCTCTAAGCTTAGCTTGCTGATAAAAGCAGCCAAGGTTTGTAATGAAATGTTTGCAAGAAGACAAACAAGTCTGAGAGAGCACCAAGGATTGCACAATTCAACCCTGATCTAGAAATATTCTCTTCCATTATTACAGGGTAATTAATCATCTTTATTGCCTTTTTTAAAAAAGCACATATGCTAATTGTCAGCATCTCAGCGCTGACATAGAAAAGGGAGATAAAGCCTGAACTTTTGCCTGCTAAATCCCTTTGAAGCTCGGTTTCCTTGGAAATGAAGAGGGGGGAAATATTCCTGTGAACTGACGAGAAAAGGAGTCAGGAGAGTGACTTGGAAGATAGCCAATGAGAAGCAGAGAACTGGGGATTGGAAAGGGAGGGATTGGGGGGCAAAGCTCAGTCCTGACCGCACGAGCCATGATCCGGTTGCTGTACTCGAATAAAGAGAAAATTTCCTTAAAGATTGGCAGTTTGGAAATTCATTTATTTTGAGATAGCATCGAAGTCTGACAGACGGTCAGGACTGACAACTTTCCAAGACAAACTGGCAAACCTCCAGCCCTCCAGCTCCCTGCCAAATGTTTGGACGGAGTGGCGGCAAGGTTCCGAAGCCATGGCAGAAAGCCAGCTCTCTACTGAAAGTCTACTTCAAGTGGCTGTGAACTAGCCACCCCTCCCTACTCCAGCCAGTTTGGATGCAACAGAGCCACCCCCTTCCCCAGCAAAGCTGCAACCCCCATTTCCCCTCCAACTGCCACAGAATTACCAAGGACAGATGATCATGCTCCAGCCCAAGAGAAGAAAAAATGATGAACCTTGGTGGACTTTGCCAAAATCTGCAGAAGCTGAATTCCCCTTTCCAGACGCTAAAGGTAAGGGGAAGCCCCTGAGTGAATTGGGAAGGGCGAACAGGTTATGGGATTGGCAGCAGGCCAGACAGCAGAAAACTTCAAAGCTGCCACTCGAAAGCCCCATGGAAGAATTAAAGCAAGATTTTGAACGTGCCGTCAGACTGGAAGAGGGTCCGTCCTGCAGGCCCAAAGATAGAAGGAGGCCAGCTGACCCTGTTGAACTAAGTCACCATAGACGGGGGCCCAGCCCCCACCCACACCAGAAGGAAAGAAAGTCCCAGTGTGCATCCATGGGTTCGTCCTCTGCCCAGCAAGCATACCAGCCTACGCAAGGCATCACCCCCCCGCCTCCGAATGAGAGATGAGGAAGAAACCCAACGACACCCTAGACAGGCACACAGAGCCCCACTATGGGAAGAGGGGCCACTGAGGGCGGAGCCACCCCGGTTCAGAGGGAAGTTCGATGGGGATCCAGACCAGGTAGCGCAGTTCCTCGACGCAGCTGAAGTCTATATTGAGTGCTATGGGCACCTTTATCCATTCCCCAGCGCCCTAGTCAATGCCATTTCAGAAGGGCTGGAGGGAGAAGCAAAGACTTGGTCATCAGCCCTCTACAAGAATAGAGCCCCCCAACTGCAAGACGCAGATGATTTCTTGCAACTATTGCGGGCGAGGTTCAAGGAAGCAGGGGAGGACCCATATGTGGAAGATGAATTTAGAAGCCTAATGCAGAGAGGGAAGCCCATCAAGGAGCACATTCGTGAGTTCCAAAGAGTCGTGGGCACCTTGCCTCCCCTACCAGAGCGACTGCTAGTGTATTTCTTCAGAACAAGCCTAGATAAGTGGATCGCTCAAGTGACCGTTTATCGGGACATCCCAAAACAACTTTCCGAATGGTTCCGCGTGGCGATGCAAGTTGAAAGGGGACTGCGCGCCAACGACATGCTAAAGCAACCAGAGGCCAGGGAAAGATACCAATCGGACCCGAGGCCACATACCAGACGAGGAACCACGGCACTACAACCTACCCAAAGGCCTTTCGTTCCGCGGACCCCAATGAGGTGCTACAGATGTGGAGGAATGGGCCATCTAGCAGCAGCATGTGGAACCCCGGGCCCGAGGCCAAACCCTCAGCCAAAGGCACAATGGGAACGGGGCCTCAAACGAGTCACCAATGCGCCATGAAGTCTCCCCCCAGGCACAGAGGTCTTCGCCCACCTGACCAAAACAAGGGGAGTCCCGGATGATGGAGACCAATCCCCCGACTCGTATGACAGCGAGGACGAAGGTGAAGACGACCCAATGGTGAGTGGACCCATCCACCCTTTCCTTTTCCCCATACGCCTAACAGCTCCAAAAACAGGAGCCCAAGAGACTTTCCAAGCCCTGATAGATTCGGGCTGCACTAGATGCCTGATTAAACTACCCACAGTCCTAAAATTGGGGATCCGAGCTAAGAAGCTCAACCACCCAATTCTATTTGAGCAAGTTGATGGGACCCTAGTAGGCGGAGCTTACGCCACACACCTGACCGAGCCAGTGAAGCTAGAACTAGGGGATCACTGGGAGACGATACGGTTCATAATAGCCCCCAAGAGGCCGATCCAGTCATACTGGCACTTTCCTGGCTAGACAAGTGGGGTCCAATTATCTGGTGACAAGAGGGGACCCGCAGATTGAGGGTAGCCAAAGGGCCCCAACCTCTGCCACTCCAACCAGAACAGACACCCCCCACACTCCAGCCCCAACTTCTCCCGCCTGAACAAAAGAAGATGGCACCGACACAAGGGCCCCTCCCAAAGGGCACCGCAAAGCAGCTGGGGCCCACATCCAACAGCTCCCATGAAGCAGAGCAGATCCCAAAAGACTACCAAGACCTAGCAGAGGTATTTAGCGAGACCGAGTGTGACGTCCTACCTCCCCACCACGATGCCGACTGCGCCATCGAAATCATCCCTGGGGCGAAACTACCTAAACCTAAATTGTATGCCATGACGCCCCGTGAAATGCAAGAAATGCGAAACTACATAGACAAGAACCTATGAAGGGGTTTCATTGAGCCAGTCAAACTGCGGGTCGCGGCACCGGTCCTTTTCAAAGAGAAGAAATACGGCTCTATGCGTCTGGTAGTTGACTTTCGGGGATCAATGCAGTCTGCGTACACAACTTATATCCTCTCCCCCTCATGAAAGACATGCTAACCCACCTGGCCAAGGGGAAGATTTTCACCAAACTAGACCTCCGCGAAGCCTACTACCGAATACGCATCAGGGAAGGAGACGAGTGGAAGACAGCATTCAACTGCCCCCTAGGAAGTTACCAATTCAAGGTGATGCCATTTGGGCTACAGGGAGCCCCAGCGGTGTTCATGCAATTGATAAACGAAGTTCTACATGACCACCTGTATAAAGTGGTCCTCGTCTACCTAGATGACATTCTCATTTACACGGAGATCATAGACCCGTGATGGCGAACCTATGGCACGCCTATATTAGTGGGCACACCAGCTCAGCTCTGGGGCGCATGCACGTGCCGGCCAGCTGATTTTCGGGCCTTCTGGGCCCACCAGAAGTAGGGAAACAGGCTGTTTCCTGCCTCTGGAGGGCCTGGGGGTGTGTGTGTGAGGAAGGCCCGTATTTTTTTCTTACCTGGCTCCAGATCCTCTCTGTGTATCTGGGAACGGCGAAAACAGCCTTTCCCACTTCCTTGGAGACCCTACGGAGGCTCGAAGGGCCCATTTCCCCACTCCTGTTGGGACAGGAAGTGACTTTTTTCCTGTCCCCAGCCTCCAGAGACTCCTAGAGAGGCTCCTACAGACTCCTAGAGAGGCTCCTAGAGACTCCTAGAAAGGTTCTGGAGGCTGGGGACAGCAAAAAATGTCACTTCCTGTCCCACCGGGAGTTGGGAAATGGGCTTTTTCAGCCTCCGTAGGGCCTCCAAGGGAGTGGGAAAGGCTGTTTTCGCAGTTCCCAGATACACAGAGAGGATCTGGAACCAGGTAAGAAAGAAAAACGGGCCTACCAGGCCATCATGTGCCAGGAGCGGGGGGGAAGGGGGAGGGGTTGCGCACACATGCGCGTGGGCACGTGCATGTGCGACCCTCCCCCGCCCCCCCTCCTGGCACGCGATGGCAAAAAGGTTAGCCATCCCTGCCATAGACGAACACATACCCCTCGTACGCAAAGTGCTGGAAAAACTGCTGAAAGCAAACCTCTATGTCAAACTGTCAAAATGCAAGTTCCACCAATCGCGTCTAGACTATTTAGGTTACCGAGTGTCAAACGAGGGGATAGAGATGGACCCGGCTAAAGTACAATCAGTCCTAGACTGGCGACCCCCTCGCACCCGCAGGCAACTACAAAGCTTCCTGGGGTTCACGAATTTCTACAGGCAATTCATCCCTTCCTTTGCAAGAATTGCCAAACCTCTGACGGACCTCCTAAAGACAGGGAGTCCGACAACGAAACCCCACCCGGGACAACCTCTACAGTGGGATCCGGCCTGCCAACAGGCATTCGAGACACTAAAACAAATGTTTGCAAAAGAACCGGTCTTGAAGCATCCTGACCCCGAACAACCCTTCGTCATCCAAGCAGATGCCAGCGATGTGGCAGTAGGGGCAGTCGTACTCCAAAGGAACAGCCAGGGGGACCTGCAACCTTGTGCCTACAAATCCCGCAAACTCACCGACACAGAGAGACGATGGGCGGCGTGGGAAAAAGAAGCGTTCGCGGTGAGATGGGCGCTGTTAACCTGGCGACACCTGCTAGAAGGAGGCCAGACACCGTTCGAGGTCTGCATGACCACAAAAACCTGGAGGCCCTCAAGACCCCACGGAAGTTATTGCCCAGACAAGTCCGGTGGGCCCAATACTTCAATCGTTTCAACTTCGAGCTGAAGCATATCCCAGGGGGAAGAACTTTCTGGCCGATGCCCTCTCCCAAATGCCTCAATACAACAGTGAACGTGAGCAGATAGTGAATCCCATCATCCCCTCTGCCCAAGGAGTGGGCCAAATAACCACCAGATGGCAGCATCGAGACCAGCAGGGGCAACCCGCAAGTGACCTAACGACAAGGCTCAAGGCAGAAACGTTGGCGGACCCCTGGTTCCGAGACAATCAACATCTCTTGACAAAGAGAGATGGCCTAGCATGGAGAGGGATGAAACTTTATGTCCCAGAGGCCTTACGCACCTTGGTCCTCAAGAGGAGTCACGATGTCAAACCAGCGGGACATTTTGGCTTCCTAAAGACTCTGCATTTAGCACGGAGACAGTTTTGGTGGCCCCACATGAGAAAAGTCGTAGACAGCTATGTAAAAAGTTGTACCATCTGTGCCACGATGAAAACCCGACCAGGAAGGCCCCCGGGGCTGCTGCAGCCAGTAGCTGAACCGTCAAGGCCATGGGAGGAGATTGCTATGGACTTCATAGTCGAACTGCCGAGGAGCAGCAGAAGCACAGTGATCTGGACTGTAATAGACTTATTCTCCAAACAGGCACATTTCATACCCTGCAGCGGACTACTCTCAGCCCAACAATTGGCCAAACTGTTCGTAAAGCACATCTACCGCCTGCACGGAGTACCCAGAAGAATCATCTCCGATCGAGGTGTCCAGTTTACAGCGAAGTTCTGGAGGGAATTCCTTCGATCCATAGGATCATCCCAAGGCCTCAGCTCAGCGTTTCACCCGAGCACCAATGGGGGGGTGGAGAGATTGAATGCCATGATAGAGCAGTACCTGAGGTGCTACGTTGACTACTAATAATCGAACTGGGCGGACCTCTTATCCTTTGCGGAGGTCGCATATAACAATGCTGTCCACAGTAGTACAGGACTAACCCCATTTAAGATAGTGAGCGGCATCGATTTCGTCCCCATGCCAGAGTACCCAAGGGAGCCTCCTTCCTCAGTTACCTTGACTGAATGGATGGCAATGCTGAGAGAAACCTGGGAGAACGTCAAGAGGGCATTAGACAAGGCGGCACGGTCTTATAAGAAACAAGCAGATAAGCACCGAGCCCCTCAGAGGCCGTTCCAAATAGGGGAGAAGGTCTACCTCTCCACCAAGTATTTAAGACTCAGACTCCCGACCAGAAAACTGGGGCCGAAATTCATAGGACCATTTCCAATAGTAAAAATAATCAACCCGGTCACAGTACAATTGCAGTTGCCCCGGTTACTAGGGAGGATACACCCCGTTTTTCACAGTAGCCTCCTGAAGCCTGTGGTAGGGTCAACTTTAAGGCCAGTGCCACGTTGGAGGGTCCCAGGGCCCTTGATTGTTGGAGGCCAGACCCACTATGAAGTACAGCGAATTCTTGATTCAAGGTGACACAAAGAACGCCTCCAATACTTAATTAAGTGGAAGGGTTACCCCTTGTCAGAAGCTTCCTGGGTGAAGAGCACAAACATCCAAGCTGACCGCCTCATAGCTAAATTCCATGCAGATCACCCGGACAAGCCGGGAGGGGGTGGGACACACCCTCGGATGGGGTAAGGTACTAAACTTGTTGTTTGTCTCGCGCAGGCCTCAATGGGAGTGTGAAGGGAGAGGGGCCGGATGTCAGCATCTCAGCGCTGACATAGAAAAGGGAGATAAAGCCTGAACTTTTGCCTGCTAAATCCCTTTGAAGCTCGGTCTCCTTGGAAATGAAGAGGGGGGAAACATTCCTGTGAACTGATGAGAAAAGGAGTCAGGAGAGTGACTTGGAAGATAGCCAATGAGAAGCAGAGAATTGGGGATCGGAAAGGGAGGGATTGGGCGGCAAAGCTCAGTCCTGACCGCACGAGCCATGATCCGGTTGCTGTACTCGAATAAAGAGAAAATTTCCTTAAAGATTGGCAGTTTGGAAATTCATTTATTTTGATAGCATTGAAGTCTGACACTAATGCTTTAATGAAATGCTCTATCAAAACATTGCAATATTACTTTATTATAGAGTAACATTTACAATTATTAAATTATTTTTAATTTAATTCATGATATTGGTTGTCATCGTTAAAGCCCTTCATGGCTTGGGATCAGATTATTTGAATGACTATCTTTTCTCAATTAGATCTGCTTGAAGTAACAGAGTGGGGAGGTAGGGAATACTGCAGGTGGGACCAAAAGAAGGGCCTTCTCCATGATAGCTCCTTCCCTGTGGAATATCATTTTGGCAAAGATTGTTCCCCACTCTGACACTCTTTTGCAAGGCCCTGAAAATGTGGTTCTGCCAATCAGTCTGGCAACCCCAGAATGATATGGAGCCATCAAGTGGCTTATTTGGTTGTTGCTAGGGGCATGGTAAATTATTGATTTTTTATTGTTTTTTATTAGGATTTTATGCTTGAAAGCCACTCAGAGTCACTGAGTGCGAGTTGGGCAGCCATATACATTTTCTTAAATAAAGTATCTTTATAGCATTTTATAGCCAGCTTTTTCACCATTGATCTGGGATAATATAAATAGCTCTCCCATCCCTCATTTTTTAATCACAGTAGCCTTACTAAGTAGATTCAAGGAAAGTGGCTGATGCAAAAACACCACTGACTTTCATGAGAAAAGAGATTTAATATACAGCTGACAATGTAATATAGGACTTTCTTTGGCCTGCTGAAGTGGCAGTTATTTAATCCAAAATATCATGACATGATATGAATATGATGAATGAATGGATATGATTTCTGTCCAAGGGACTTTCTGACTACAAAAAACATGCTGAAATTAAGACTTTGAAGGCTGAATAAAGTATGTAGTTGCTGAGCATGGTGGTGAATGTGAGAATTGGGGATAGTGAGTACTCCATCTGGAAGCACCTTTTAAATTCTATGCTAGAGAAATTAAATGAATCTTACAAATAAATATAGCAATGTGTAGAAATTGGATGAGTTGGATAAAAACCATAACAAATGTACCTGCACAACTTCTGTGCCTTCAATTATCTTTCTATAATATGATACTGATGGAGAGCTAGAACTTCCAGCAACAATATACGATCTCTCAGGGTAAGCTAAGTCCCAGAATCTGCAAAAAAACAAACAAAACAAAAACAAAAAAAACCCTCAAAAGTAGAAATTTAAATAAGCTGTTAAGTTCTGCATCTAGTGTCTACTTATTACCTTGTGTTTAACTGTTACTAGTAATCAAATCCCATTATTTAAAAGAATGTAAGTCATGAATTATATTTAATCATGCATTTTTTCCAAGACTTGCAGTTTGATCCTATGTTTACTCAAAAGCAAAATATATGTTCAAAAAACCAAAAACAAAATATATGTTCAAAAAAAACAAATAACCATATAAGGTTGATGCATCATGCTCAATAATTACATCATGCTCAATAATTATTTCTACTCTGAGTCTCTTATTATTATTCAGATTCACACTTTAATTACCAAAAATATGTAAATCTATGTTCCAAAAGAAACATTGTTTTCTGTTTATTTTCCAAATAGCTTTTAAAAAATTAAACTGATTTTTAAAAATACTGCAAAGAACTAGGGCTATCACTAGATAAAAACTGGTTAATTAGTGAAGGTATAATCAACTAATCAAAAATATGGTTTCTCATGAAAATATTCTAAGCCGATAGAGCCGATATGGAAATACTGTGTCCATATCTGCCATATGAAGACATGTCTAATGTTTCCAAGAATAATGATTAAAATTGCCACCATTTTTGTCCTTTCATTCCACAATAATCAATACTCAGCTTTCTGTGAAAGCTTACAGATAAAATTTGAAAAAGAAAAGGAAAAGAAAGCCGGAAATGCTCCCAGCCTGGCTACAGAACAGCAATTTAAAGAAGAGTAAGAGTAAAACACAGACAACCAATCTCAGGTTTTTTTTTTTTTTGTTAATTTGATTTATATGCCGCCCTTCTCCGAAGACTCAGGGCGGCTTACAATGTGCTCAGCAATAGCCTTCATCCTTTTGTATATTTATACAAAGTCAGCTTATTGCCCCCACAACTGGGTCCTCAATTTACCTACCTTAGAAAGGATGGAAGGCTGAGTCAACCTTGAGCCTTGGCGAGATTCGAACCCTGCAGTAATTGCAGGCAGCTGGTCTTAATAACCAGCTTAATAACAGGGTGCCTTAAACCTGCTGTATAAAATGCATTTGTGTATCCTACAAACACATATGCCAATAAAAAACTACCAGAGTACAGAACTTGGAAAATGTAGAAAGAGTATTTGTTACTAGAAAGTAGTTACAAATTAATAGTATGTTTGTCAGTGCCTTTGAGAAACACACAATCCATGAAGGTTGATAGGATTGTTCATTTAATTCAAATTTTAATCTATGCTTGCATCACTTTTCAGCAATGCCAGACTGAGCAAGATAAATCGATGGACTGTATAATTATTCTTTAATTTGCCAGGCTACCATAATTGTCAATAGATAGTCCATGGAATCTCTCTTTAATCTAGAATCCCCCAAAATAGTTAAACTGAATCCATTTAATGTTGAAAAGCAACTGCCTAATGCTTCTTATCAGGTATTGTGTTACATATTAACAATTACCACATTAGATAAAAAATTTCACAACACTTGTGACAAAGATTCAGAGATGCAGAATGGATAAAAATGTTGCTTCATATTGGATGAAATTTCTCTGTACTTTTGTAAGATGGATTTTAAGTTTGCAATTTATGCATTTATCTTATTGTTAATGAATAATTTACCTTATTTTCATGTCTGAACCAGCAGTCAATAATATAGGATTTCCATCTGCTGGACTACAATATATTCCATGAACACTATGAGATGAAGGCTAATAGACAGAAACATATATTAAACATATAGGCCTTGGGGTTAAAATATTTTAAAAAAGGTTTTCAAAATAGTTTAAATAGCATTGCATGATTAATTCATTACACTTGAATACACTCATTTGCAGCAGAATCTAATGAAATATGTTAATTAAAAATCGTATTTTAGATTTGATTATTTAACATTTTAAAAAATGCATTACCAGCATTGAAGAAGAGTTTCTCCAGATGATTTCAAATCATCTTATGTAAAAGAGAGACACCTTAGGATACTGCACAGGAACCCAATGAAAGAAATGGTGAATGTGTTTTGTATGCTTCTTCATTGTTAAAAGCATTAGTATTGATCTAGCTCTTAAAACCAGTAATATACATTATGAAATGTTTTATCCCAAATTCAGAAGCAAACCTGTAATTCTGAAAGAGGAGGAGCACTGCTAGCCCACAATGTGAAGCGTCGATCACCTGTTTCCATATCCCACATGGAGACTTCATTATTGCCTTGAACAGCTATATTAACAATAACAAATAGCAGTTATAACATGACAGCATGACCTGGTTGCACTGACATTTTTTGTTTCTTCCTACTTTTCACTATTGCCACCTATTCTGTTGCCTTTCTACATTCTACTGTTGCCACTTATAGACCTTTAGTGAGCCACTATGCCTCCTATTAATTTTTCTTTTCTTATTATGATCCCAGATTCAAAGAGAATTTTTGCCATTTACTTGAATTCCAGCCAGTCTCATCTCAAACAAATACTCTCTGTATAAACCCATGACCTATCATCCTTAGCAATTTGTCTATGTTGTTATATTGCAAAGTAATGTAATATAATGTTGTGTTGTGTTGTGTTGTTTTTATTATGTTATGTAATTATGCTATGCTATGCTATGCTATGCTATGCTATGCTATGCTATGCTATGCTATGCTATGCTATGCTATGCTATGCTATGCTATGCTATGCTATGCTATGCTATTCCAGTTATTTAAAGTAATCATACAATTTGAAAGCATTTGGATGTTTAAAGAAAATTAACTGTACCTGCAATCACCCATGACTGGGAAAGGGGATGCATAAGTAGCCGTCTGATCCGTGCTCTAGAAGGATGGGAATGGCTGGAAATTGGTAACTGGAATCTCATATCCCAACATGCCATGGTCCCACTGCTTGTACCTTGCAAAGAAAAATGTAAACAGGTGAGTAACATAATGCGTTTTAAGCAACGTCTTCCAAGCTCTAGCAGTGATGTCCATATGATGTTTAAAGGCACATTTTCTTTTTATTATTTATTTATAGCTGTTTATGTCATTTGCAAAGAAAATTAGACTATGAATAGTCCTCGACTTACAATCACAATAGAAATTTCAGCCATTAATCATGGTGGTGGTAAACCAAGGCACCCATGTGACCAGACTTGATTTTATGCCCAATTTTATGGCAATTATTAAACAAATTATGTAGTTGTAAGTCCACATCAGTGTTTTTCTTTGATAGAGAAAAGCAAAAAACAATGGAAAATGGCAAAAACAGCAAAAAACACAGTCAACAATTATAACCAGTTGTAAATGTAAACTGCTGCCAAGCACTCAAAATCCAATCACGTGATTGCAGCGGGTGATGGTGGACATTTTATGTTAACTGGAATAATTTACAAGGTGTAAATCACTTTTTCTAAGGCTGTCATACAGTAACTCTGCACTGTTGTTAAATGTCCAGTTATAAGATGAGGACTGCATATTTAACTTGCTCTTGTAACATTATTTCTTGCACAAGAAATAGTGGGAGTTGAACCCAGATCAATTCAATTACCCAGGAACCAGTCTAAATTGGCCAATATGTATGGATTATCATCTGCACTCAGCACATGTGGTAAGGGCAATTTTATTTACACATTAATAAATAATATAATGATTTCATTAAAAGGAAACAAAACTTACCAATGCAGAGCCAGCACTGATGTATATCAACAGCAAATGAGGTTATAAGTCCCAAGCGTAAATCATGTTTTAATGTCCAGGCATTATTACAGGACCTAAGATCCCATCCCACTAAGGAACCATTCACAGTGGCATATGCTAGCACAGACTGGGCTCCTGAATTGAAATGATGCATGTCTACCACACAGCCATCATCTTTTTGATCTAAAAACCTAGATAAAATAAAAAGAACTAGACATTATTCACTGAAATTTATCATGGCCTACACCCTTGAAAAATATTTCCTAGAGTTTTTATTTATATAGATAGTCCTTGACCCATGATTATAATGAAGCCTTTCCATTATAGTCACAAATGGTGATGGACTGTTAAGCAAGACAACATTTCTTGATGACTTCCACACCCCATTTTCTCTAATGCAGTTGTTAAATATATGTGTTGTTAAATGTATGTATGTATTAAGTGGAGCACAGGGTACCTCGGGGATGAGGGAGGCCAAGCGCTGGTCCAAGCCGGCCGGTTTTGGGCTTCCCAAGGCCTCCCTGCATGTTGTGAGACACCCTGAACTGCTTCCCATTCTTTGAGGTCCCCATAGCCTTTGGGCCTGCTTTATATGCCCAACCAGGTCCCTGCATGCCTTTTCCCTTCCCACCAGGTCTCAGCAGGCCTTTCCCCCGAAAAATTCTATTATAGTTAATCCTATATCTCCCAAAAATCCTATTATAGTTTTCCCCAATCTGGACATCCTCTTGAAAATGTTAGCTCCACAGCTCTTGCTGAAATATGCTGAATAGTGAAATCCACACACCTGTCCTATAACATCAGGGGGAAACTTGATAACCCATCTTGTAGCCTTACTGCTAACTTTATATTTGCAAGGAGTAAGCATAGCAGATAATAAATAGGAAACAAATGAAAACTATACATAAACACTACACATACCTGTTTTGTATTGGATGAATCTTAGGTGATTTGGGGAGTTTTGAAGCTTCAATCCCAAAAAGTTGGATGGACCCGTTATCTGAAGCTATAGCCAAATAGTGAGAACCCTGGCAAAAAGTAAGCGTTGTCACACGTCCCCCAATCCGAGAATATGTTAAAATTGATCTGTTATAAGTCATAGAAAAAAGTCCAAAATTACAATGAAATTACTCATGCTCCATGCTACACAGATAAAGTAAGATCATGGTGAGCTACATATATTTATTATGATGTCTGGCATAAAATTCTGGGAATATGCCCTTCTGTGAGGATGAGGCTCTGTGTTAAGAGATCACTATTTCCATCACAAAGCTATTATTCCCAGAATTTCCAGGCAAAAAACCCAACAAATTGGAACATGTGTCTAATTTATGTATGCACAATAATTCTTTGACAGAGATAATGGCAACTTTGCCTGGAAAATGAGGGTTAATGGGTTTTAATTTTTTATTGATTGAAGAGAAAGGCATGTAAAATAAAAAGAGAATTGCTTATATTAAATCAGAGCAATTAATTAATTAATTAATTAATTAATTATATTTCTATACCGCCTTTCTCCCGTAGGACTCAAGGCGGTGTACAATCAAGAAAAATATAGACACACAAACATCATAAAATTGCTAATTAAAATTATTACTTAGTTTGGTCAATTAAATAAAACCCAGAATTAGATAACATTAAAAAAAAAAAAATCATTCACATGTTCATAAGTTTAGCCTCGCCTGTTGAAACATCAGGGTCTTGAGGGCACAGCGGAAAGCACGGAGATCAGGGATATTCCGTATCTCCGGGGGCAGTTCATTCCAAAGAGTTGGAGCCCTCACAGAGAAGGCCCTCCCCCGGGGAGTCGCTAGTCGGCATAATTTGACTGACGGTACCCTGAGTTGTCCCTCCCTGTGAGAATGAACTGGTCGGTGGGAGGCTATTGGTGGCAAAAGACGGTCTCGTAGGTACCCAGGTCCTAAGCCATGGAGCGCTTTAAAGGTGATAACTAACACTTTGAATCGTACCCGGAAGACCACCGGGAGCCAGTGCAGCTCGCGTAGGAGAGGTGTTACATGGGCGTAACGAGCTGCGCCCATAATCACCCGCGCGGCTACATTCTGGACCAGTTGGAGCCTCCGGGTGCTTTTCAAGGGGAGCCCCATGTAGAGAGCATTACAGTAGTCCATACGGGAGGTAACTAGGGCATGAGTGACCGTGCACAAGGCGTCCCGATCCAGAAAGGGACGCAACTGGCGGATCAGGCGAACCTGATAAAAGGCACCCCTGGCCACGGCCGTCAAATGATCTTCTAAAGATAGCCGTGAATCCAGGAGGACACCCAAGTTGCGGGCCCTCTCTGTGGGGAGCAAGATCTCATCCCCTATTGTCAGTGATGGTACCAGCTGACTATACCGGGACGCCGGAAGCCACAGCCACTCGGTCTTGGAGGGGTTGAGTCTGAGCTTGTTTCTCCCCATCCAGATCCGCACGGCCTCCAGGCAACGGGACATCACAGCAAGAGCATCATTGGGGTGGTCTGGGGTGGAGATGTATAGCTGTGTGTCATCAGCATATTGATGAATACTCACCCCAAAACCACGGATGATCTCGCCTAGCGGTTTTACATAAATGTTGAACAGAAGGGGTGAGAGGACTGACCCTTGTGGCACCCCACAAATAAGGTGCCTCGAGGTCGACCTCTGCCCCCCTGCCAACACAAACTGCGAACGGTCAGAGAGGAAGGAGGAGAACCACCGAAGCACGGTGCCCCCTATTCCTAACCCCTCCAGCCGGTGCAGTAAGATATCATGGTCGATGGTATCAAAAGCCGCTGAGAGATCTAATAGGACCAGGATAGAGGAGCAACCTCTGTTCCGAGCCCTCCAGAGATCATCCACCAACGCGACCAATGTTGTTTCCGTGCTGAATCGTGACCTGAAGCCCGACTGGAACGGATCCAGATAGACAACTTCATCCAGGTATCGGGGTAGTTGTCTGTCACTGCGTTATTTTATTTACCAGCTGAGCTCATTATTTCTGGACTGTCTGGCTCTCCGTAGCTTTGCCAACTTCTTATCAGTAAGCTACGTGTTTCCGCATCCACCCACTTCACTTGCTCTTCACACACTCTTTCCTTTGTTCTCTTGCCAAGGTCCGGCTGACATAGCCGGCAAGAATTACTTTCAAAAATGTAACAATTAACTTTTCTTAGTTAGTGAGGTGTTTTATTTTCTTTATAACAAATAAATGAGTTTTATTAGAAACCTTTCCTCGCGTTTCTTTTCAGATTATTGCAAACTTGGAATAAGCCTCGATTCATCTACTCTAAACCAGGGTAATTAGTCCCAGAGCCAAACATGGGATTAATAAATGCCCTGACATTCTGGTAGCACGAGGATGGTCTGATTTATGGCTTTTTCCTTGTTTTTGTTACTTCTGATAAGAGCGCATAGGCAATTAGTTTTTAGCTACTGAGGTACGCTAATTATTTTGCTAAGATGCCGAAACAGAAGAAAAAAAAAGGAAAAATGAAGCATAGAGCTTTATCCTCTTTGGAAGAAGAACAGGAGATTGTAACGCCCTCAAGATTCCAGCCTCTTGCTACGGCTACGCAATTGGAACAAGAAGGTGCCATGGGTGAAGAAGATCTGAAAATGCTTTCGGAAACACATCAAAGGACAGATATCAGAACAGCTGCTTTTGAAGATAATGAACTGCGACTGAGGTCAGTAGCTTTTTCTTCTCAATTTGCATGCTATGAATCTATTCTACCAGAGCCCACAGATTACGATGTGCTTGGTGCCAGGCCAAGAAAGTTTCCACAAACGGCAAAGCTTTTTCACCCCCACGCAGAGAGAGAAGTAATTCATTACTCTTCTCAAAGCCCTGAGCTCACCCAGCGTGAGATGGCCATCAAATCCTATCGTGAGCATGTAAAATATTATGAAAATGAACTGTCTCGATTTAAGAGAGATTTGTTTATGCTTGAGCATGATAAGGAAGAATCCCGTGACTTAAATTTTTCAAAAAGCGCCATCTTGTCTTCTTCCTCGGAGCCAAAGACACTCCCCCTGGTGGATTCTGTGTCAGGCCAATTAAGACAGACGGCACTGCATACGTCACATGAAAGTCTCCCTGATCAAGTTACATATAAACCTGCCACGCAATCATTTCTTGAAACTGAGCTGCCCGAAGGTGCAGCACCATCTGCTGGCGAAAGTAATTTACTACAGGAAGCTGAAAGAGAAAGGAGCTTAGATGAACATTTTAAATTACTACAGCAGACCCTGGCAAACCTGTCTCTAACTCACTCAGAGATTCAAGCTGAAACGCCACAAGTGTCTCCACGGGCTCAAACTCCAACACCCCCTGGTGGTGATGGTGCCCTTTTAGATGGAACACAGCAAAGGGAAATGACTGCATCTCCAGCAGGTCATGCCAATATCGCAGGTCAAGCACAAATGCCAACTGGAATACAGCAGATTCCAGTGCATCAGCCACAGCAGCTACAAATGCCTGCATATAGTGCAAATAGGGCCACCTCCTGGCCCACCTCCAATGGCACAACCAAGACCATTTTTAGGTCCACAACAGGCACAGCAAATACCACAGGCATTTCTGCCAGCACAGCCAGCGTACCAAGTGCAGGCTCCTTACCACGCATTTTCTGTCTCTCCACTAACTGGTGAGTCAAAACTAAAAATGTCAGGACACAATTACAAAGCCTGGGTCAGTGAGATTACACTATTGCTTCTTAGAGAAGACAGTCACTGTATGGTATTTAACCCACCTGCTCAACCATGGGACTTTGCAATAAGAGATTTAGAGATAAGGGCTCGCACAACATTATTGATGTCCATGGATACTGAACTGCAGGTCACTTTTCCACCAAATACAACAGCCCGACAAATTTGGGCTGAATTGGAAAATTGCTACAGGCCTATCTCAATTGAATCTTCATGTTTACTCATGTCTGAACTCCATGGTTCGAGATTGAAACCCGGTGAACAAATTGGAGGACATTTGACCAAACTGAAAGGTCTGAGAACAGAATTGAGAGAAAGAGGCCATAACATTGAAGATATTCAAATGATCAGCATCATTATTAACTCTTTGAATTATGAATGGAAAGATGCTGTTACAAAAATTAACCAAGTCCCAATTGCTCAAAGCACAGTGGACAATGTCTGTAGGCTTTTAATTGAAGAAGAGGCATTCATGTTGGCCACGCCACACTTGAGAGGACCACCCGCATCAAGAGCTCCAGCTAGGCGCCCCTTCCGAGGAAGGACCTACGCTCCAAGGATGCCAAGATGCAACACCTGCAATCGTGTGGGACATGCCACCCGGGATTGTCCCCAACGAGTTCCAGCTCCTGTCACGTACCAGCCCAGAGGAACAGATTCCAGAGGCAGAGGCAGAGGCGGAAGACAAGGTCGTCGTGGTCCCCGGCGTGATCCACAAACTCCACTCGCCACATTGGCTTTAACCAATGATCCACAACCTCAACCAGAGTACGACAGACGACTCCTGTGGACTTTGGACAGTGGTGCAGCATTGCATGTTACCTACAGAAAGGAACTTTTCACAGAGATGCACGAGCCTGAACCAGAACTACGTGAACTTTATTCTTTTTCAAATCATCCTTGTCAGGTCAAAGGAAAAGGAACTGTTTATGTTGAAGAGCTCGATGCATTCATTCCTGATGTTTATTACATACCAACAGCAACCAGTAATTTGCTTAGTCAGTTTCACTTGTCTAGAATGTTAAAGTTCCAAGTTCACCACCTTGAAAAAGCAAGTTACATAGTTAAAGATGGAGATATTGTTGCTGAAACCATATTAATTGGTGCGTTTATTACTTAAAGCCAAAGCCTAAAACACAAACACAGGCAAATATGCAAACTCCAAAAAGGGAACGCACAGGCCCAGATAGAGATGCTCCAGAGAGAGATCCTGTTGCTATTCCTAAGGCTCCTAAAGCCAACAAAAAGAAAATTGGTAAACAGGTTGCTCAGAGCAAGCCTGAGGTTCCGCATAAAAATGTTAATGTTGAGAATTCACTAACTGGTAAACCTTTGCATTCCAGGTGTATCCACAAATGGCATAGAAGATTGGGGCATGCCAGTTTCCGTGTTCTT